CTAATTTCGTAGTAAGCAATTACTAGGACTTTACGAGGAAATGAGTTACTACGGGTTTACGAGGAAAATGACTTTTTCTTCGTAAGGGCCACGTAAGTATACTACGACTTTACGAGGAAACTGTTTTCTCGTAAGTATACGAGAACCTTACGAGGAAACATGGTTTCCTAGTAAACTCGAAGTAAACTCGTAGTAATTTTACAAGGAATTATTTTCCTAGTAAAGTTTCCTAGTAAATGCTTAGTTTTCTTGTAGTGAACCTGACATCTATTGCTTGTCTTGGGGCTTGGTATACAAGGGATCGGAATCCTCATGCAAGTTTGGAAGGTAAAAGTCTCAATAATTTTGGTTTCTTTCTCTCCTTCCTTTGGCATCCCATAAAGAGAAAAATAAAAGATTGAGAGGATTTCCTGAGAGGCAGAGGGAGAGGTACATTACCCATGACCCCACTATTCTAATTCAAAGGAATGATCACACATTGTGGAAGCGAGGGAGAGGTAAATTACCTATGACCCCACTATTCGCTTACACTTTGTCAGAAAAGACTACAAAAAGTAGAAAGATAAATAAGATGAACATTAGTTGTTCATTGGGATTGATATAAAAGAAAAAGAAAATTTGGGATCCATAGAAGGGAAATAAAGAGAGAAAAGGAACCAAGATGAGAATGCATGAAACTTGCTTGAGTTGAATCCAAGTGTTCTTTGATCGATACTCCCAAGGTAAAGCCTACACCTTTATTTTATTCATAAATGAAATCAGTAGAGGGGATAGACAGACATGATTGTTTAAGCTGATTGGCTAGATGAATTTGGTTGCTAAGCTAGGATATGGTATAATGTACTTCTGTAGTTAGTAATATGAGATGTGGCTTGCAACGAAGTAGAGGTGATGATTTTAAAGTTAAAATTTTATTGAGTCTCTACTGTTTTTAAACTTCTTCCAAAAGACTAACTAATGGTTTGCTTGAGAACAAGCAAAAGGTTAAGTCTGGGGGAGTTGATATACCATGGTTTTGACCCACTCTTTTAGCCATGGTATTGATATGTTTTTAATATATATATATATATATATATATATATATATATATATGTTTTGGAGTCGATTAGGCATGTTTTCTGGTTCAGGAGCATTTTGGAGTAAAGTGATGATTTAGGTGCCCTTATGGAGCTTAAAGGAGAGTTTTCCGAGATGACTATGAAGATCAAACAATAAGGTCGATATCAAGAGATACATATCGATCGATACACATCCTGTGTAATCGATCGATGACGCTTCCATAGAACATGAAGTCGAGATACTCCATCGATCGATGTACGCCATGTACCATCGATCGATATGAAGCGTGATGAACAAGTCTGACTTGGCCGACTTGAAGCCCAAGTTTTCCTAATATTACAAGATTGCCCCTGACGAGTTTATAACCTAAATTAACTCATATTTATAGTTATGCCTATGTGTTTTGGCAAAGCATGTTTTGAGTGTTTTTCTGTGCTTTTGATACTATTTTATACTTAGCAATAAAGTATTCTTTTCATCTTATTCTCAAAGGTTATAGAATTCAAGATTTAGAAGAAACACACAAAGAGATTTTTTGTTCCAAAGAACCAAGAGTTCAATCTTCTAATCTTATGAATTTCTATTATTACCTTGCTGCTATGAATCACTTAGCCATGTCTGATTAGATTCCTTTGTTAGATTTAGGGTTCAAATAGTTATGAGGGATTAGCCCCAACTATGGAATGTTGAGTTGTGATATTCATTATCCAGATGAACCCTAATGCTTACTCTAGAGTAGCTAACTAGAGTATGATCATGGAATGATTTAACTTGTTAATCATTATCCTGAAATCATTTGGCATAAGCTCAGATCCTCTAAGGATGTGCGAGAGCCGGTCTATGATCTTGGTGAACACAGTTTCGATTCGATCTAATGCTATATCGATCAATACTCCTATAGAGTAATCGATCGACGGCAACCCATATCGTCCGATAACGCTGTCAAAACATCGTTCGATATTACCGGCAGTAAGATCAATGGACGAGTTTATATAGCGACAGCTATTGGATATGTCTAAAAATCGAAGTTCTTATATATCTTGCAAGCAACTTACTAAAAAATCTGTAGCATTATAAACCTGATTATCTGAACAACAACCTTGAATCTAACTACTTTCTTTTATTGTTCAAAACCTAAATATATTCTCTTGAGCAACTTATCATTGCTCACAACTGCAGTTAACTATTTTAAACTGAATCAACCTAGCATAATCACTTAGGATTGTGTTCCTCAATTCTCTGTGGATTCGATCCCTAAGTACTACAACTGAACCTCTTATTTGAGAGAGTATTTCAGTCCTTAGGGTTAAATATTTGAGTGATATCAATGGGTCTATAAACGTAAAAGGGGCAGGAGTGGGCCTAGTCCTAACCTCCCCCACCGGCGAGTCAGCATCAAGAGGGATGAGATGCAACTACAAAGCTACAAATAATGAAGCCAAATACGAGGCCCTAATCGCAGGCCTCTCACTCGCTAAGCAAATGGGAGCAGATGAGATCCAGGTCTTCAGCGACTCCCAATTGATCATCAGCCAGGTCCAGGGTGACTACAAGGCCAAAGACGCCAGTATGATCAGATACCTCACCGTAGCAAAGCGCCTGATCGAAAGATTCCAGAGCTGAAAGCTTACCCAAGTTCCCCGAAAACAAAACTTGCACGCCGATGCTCTGGCCAATCTAGGGTCCGCCCTAGAAACCACAACCAAAGGAATCTCAATAACAACAGCAAAACACTAATCACACAAATATGCATTACATTCACACATAAAAATAGAGCAATAACAATGTCAACATCCCGGCGCTTGCGCGGGACTCTGCCCCTAGTTTAATTAAATTGGAAAGTATGTAGTGTTTTTTGTTCATTAAAAAATACGGCAACTTTTAGATGAACATTTGTAATTATTTAAACGTATCACATTGTTTAAATTAATATTCGCAAGGGTTGGGCAAAAAACTCGGATTTGAAAAACTGAACCGAATCTGATTCGAAATAGTAGTACTGCATTCGAATCGAAATTGATTCAATATCCAAATGGGTTCAAAATTTTGGTATTTAAATAACCGGAACTCGAAACTGAATCCGACCCAAACCGAAGTATTTCAGGTACCTGAATATATTCGAAAGAGATTTATATACCTATATATATTAATTATTTTGATTTAATGTATATAAAAAACATTCAATATATATAAAATACTTTGAAGTTTTCAAAATACTTGTAAATATATGTAAATAGTCAAACATACATGTATAAAATTGCTAAAGTATACTCAAAATATCAAAAATACTTTAAAAATTTATTGATTCACAATCCAAATATTCAAATCAAACTAATTTATATGTTAATTTTAGGTATTTTGACTTATGTTATTCAATTTTATGTAATATATTATTTTGCTTATAGATTTTTAGAAATTTAAAATATATAATCAATTTTAAAATTTTAAAAAATAATTCAAATGGGTTATCCGAATCCGCAAAGATCCAAACGAACCCGAACCGAAATTTAGAAATATCCGAATGGAGCTAAAAATTTTGAACCCGAAAACCGAAACCCTAATAGATCCGAACCGAACCCGAATGGGTACCCGAACGTCCACCCTTGCATCGAATGATCAAACCACTGCCAAATTACCCATTGCAAACTTTTAATTTTAACTATTTAAACTTTTCATTTATATAAATGTTGTGGATATTGACAAAATCCAAGAACACAATAAAAAGAATGAGATATTCATTACTTCAAATAATAAGAAATATTGAAATTGTAACTATATTTATTTTATATTTGCCTTATTATAAATAAGAGAAAATTCTCGTCTGTATTATTTTCCAAAAAAAAAAAAAATTATGACCTCAAATTGAAAAATATTAAAATAGTACAATTAATCATTATCTAAATTCCTACTATATAACAATTTGAATATTCATTAAATTAACATGTTTACACGATAAATTTCAGAGATAAATTCTAAAGTGAAATTATTCATTTTTGTGTATCACCAATTTTCATTATATATAATTTTTATTTTAAAATATATTAAAACTTTTAATAGTATTTTCCTGCAAACCGCGGGGATCTGAATTCTAGTGTAAATTATGTGAGTGATCTCCCTACCATGGTGATAAGAGAAGACAATGCTTAGTTTTGCTCGCATGAGGAATGTTCCATCATGTGAGCGCATCTTTATCAAATCAAAACTTTGGATGTTTTATATATATGTATTAGTTTACAGAAAACACACACACACACACACACACACATATATATATATATATATATATATATATTAATGCATTTTCTCTCTTTAGTTGTAATTATTTATTTTTGTTTGTCTTAAAAATCTCTCTAAGAAATCTCTTTTTGGATACCTTTTAAGAACATGTCCAATGAAGATATCTAATTTTAGATATCTTAAAATACATATATGTATATGAATATATGAATATATTAATATTTGTATTTTTATAGTATTTTAATCTTTAAAGTAAATCCAACCCAAAATATCTTTGCGGAAAACTTTTAAATTAGATTTTCCATAAAATTAAAAACTTCACAGTTAAATACTAATTTTAATATATACATACATATATTTATATGTATTTTGAGAAACCTAGAGCTATAACCACTTTGGACTCTACAAAGTCAAACTAACTAAAGAGTTTATCATGCATCCATCCAACAATTTATCATTTTATTTCAAGATTATTCACTTATTATTACAAACTCATTGGTTTTACAGCAACTGACGGAACGAAACAAGAAAACTTCGAGTTTTTACTCATAAATATTATTTTTTCGTTGATCTCCCTCCTTCTCCTGTTATCAGAAAAATACAATTGAGAGCTTAATACAAGGTGGTTAGATAAATTATTACGCATGTATAAGGCAATTAACGTTATCGTCTACTCTTACATAGATATAACAGCGTCCATATCATCAGTTGCATGAAAGTGTAGGGATGTTGCAGCGCGTGGGAAGCCTAGAGGCAATGCGAAATGTGTTGCAAATGCAGTCGCTCGGTACTGCCTCAAGAGCATTGCAACACTCGGCACTCGGGTTCGTCGTGTCTGCTCCTGGAACCACAAACTCACCACACACATTCAGTCCACTCAAGTGCGTATTGCAGCTCTGTCCATCCACCACCGTAACCACCAAGACCACTGCCACCATCACTACCACTTTCATGATTGTGGAAAATTTGGAAGAGCTGAAAACTGATACCGTCATCTTTTTTTTATCTTTTATGTATTCTAAAATATATGATTTTGGAAGTGAGACTGTTGTTTGTTAGATATATTTAGGATGCTAGTGGTTTACTTATGCTTATATAGAGCCGAGGACAGTTCGGATGGTATATGTCGAAGAGGGTTTAGGATCATTATTCGTGAGCTACCTAACTGGAGGGATCATGTTAAGCTGCACTTTTAGTGTGTGTGTGTGTGCGCGTGCTGGGGAGTCTAGAGAATTGATAGGCCCTGGAGAGTATACTTTCGAAAGAGGTACAGAGGAGGGAATAAAGAGAAGGAGGTTAATGAGTCTGACGTGGCTGAAGCTCAACCATTGGATGAAGTCTGAAGATATTAGAGGAGTAGTATAAATAAGAGTTTGTTACATTTGGAGAAGGTTGTAAAGTTTGTTACGTAGAGAGAGAGTAGAATCAAGAGAGGTTGTTCTCTGTGATTCGATAACTTGAGAAGAAAGGTTCTCTTGTTTGTAATTCTCTTTGATAATCAATAAATACATTGTTTGTTGCTTATCAATTGGTGCGGTGAGCGATTCGAGCATAGCAATGGCGGATTTGCGCGAGTCGTTACAGCGAGTCGAGGAGATCGATGACTCAGTGGCTGAGTTAACCAAGCGATTCGAGTTTCTGGAAGGCGGCTATAAGCGAATCGTTGATTCGAACAAGTCGATGGAGGCGAAGTTGGAAGCGAAGATGGGGACGCTAGAAACAAGCATTAAGAACATCCTAACAATGAATACCACAACTTAGCAATCTATAGTTGGGGCTAATCCCACAACCTATCTGAACCCTAAATCCAACTGGTGGATCTATTCAGACATGAAGATTGTCACAGAAATCATAGATGAATAGATATAAAACTGAAATAGAATAGATATAAAAACCAATGGAGTTCCAGGAGGACTCTGATAGGAGTTCCTCCCTTCTCTCCTAACTAAGAGAAACAATAGAAAAGAACTTAGAAAAGCTTAGCCGTCAACAATAGCTTAGAAATAACATAAATAGGGTTTCAAGTCGTCAAGGGTATTTTGGTAACTTTGTGGGCTTCAGTCGGTTATGAAATATAGTCATCCCACGTTCTGGCATTCATATCGATTGATATGAAGTGTCTCCCCTCGATGGACATTCATTCATTTTCTCGACAGCCTTCTCTCGCGAGGCAGACTGACCACTTTTCAGTAAAACGGGCATAACTTCTGATCTAACCGTTGGATTGACCTCAAACTGGTGGCATTGGAAAGCTAACTCAAAGCTATATCTTGTCTCAAAAGATGGGCTAAATCGCACATGTCCAAATCTACACATCTGACGCGTCTGCACAGTTCTGCACTTAAGGGCTCCAAAAGACACCAAAATCACCATATTTCTCCAGAACGTACCTGAACATGTAAATACTCTAAATAGACTCTATATTGTAGTAAATATATACGAAAACACCTATAAACCATGGCTAAAAATGGGTAAAATCCATGGTCGATCTGTAACTCGTGTGCATTGTTTGACCAGAGTCATCGATCGACCTTCCTATCAGAAATTGGTCGATGATTAGTTAGTGTATCGGTCGATTATCACATAGATAATTGCTCGACACTGTCTATCGCGGCCATCTGGTCATTAGACTTATAGTTCAACAAAATAGTTAATACTCTATAGTATCTCGCAAGCAACTAAATAGCATCCTATAGAATTATAATCCTGAAAACCTGAATAAAAATCCTACGCCTAGCATCTTTTCCATTTTTGTCTTTAAAAGTCTAAATTTTCATTTTCGATTAAGTAATTGTTGTGCTTAATTGGAATATTTCCTGATTGCTTATTTACTTTTTTCACTATTTATACATTCACCTAGAGTTGCATCCAACTAGATTTATTAGATTTCTTAGTTCCTTGTGGATTCGATCCCTAAGTACTACAGCTGAACATCTTATTTGAGAGAGTTATTCACTCCTTAGGGTAATTTGAGTGATATCAAATTTGACGCCGTTGCTAGGGAGCTTAGATAGTCTTTAGATTTAGTTTTTCAATTCTAGGTTTATCTTTTTTATTTCTTTTTTCTCTATTCATCTTCCGGTAAATTTTCTTTTTCTTGATTTCTTTTCAGGTGTATGCATAGCATAACCAGAAGCAGCAAGGAAAAACAGCTTTTATTTTCAGAAGATCCGGGCAGCTTAGAACATTCAATCCGCAAAGACCAACGTTCCGCATTGATCGACGCTACATTACCTCCGTCGACTGATTCTCATCAAACCTCAACCGATCTCGTTTCATCATCGATCGACACACACCACTCTTCGTCGACCGATTCTGATCACTTGACATCGACCGACACCGATCTCCGTACATCGATCGATTCTCAGCCGCGAGACATGGTTGCACCTTTGATTAAAACCGCGCACGCGAATGGAAGCTTGTATGACCAGGAGGGTCATCTGGGTAATGCAACATGTCAGAAACTGGATACTCAGGGTAACATTATCCCTGTACCTGAGGAAGATGCTCGACCTAAGACCTTGGCAGGTTACAACCGTCCAAATCAGTACTACGCCAATATGTTAGCTATTCGTCTCCCAGATGTCCAGAGGGAGAATTTCAAGTTGAAGCCTCAGTACTACACGCTTGTGGTACATGTAATATACTGCGGGACACCACATGAGCATCCTATGGACCATCTTGAGAGGTTCGAGGATCTCATTGCTGCTATCAGAGTTAAAGGAGTCCCTGAGGACTATCTATTGTGTAAGCTCTTCAATTTCTCACTTGCTGGAGAGGCTGCACATTGGCTCAAGCAGTTACCACCAGGATCTCTTACATCTTGTGCTGACATCAAGAATGCGTTCCTGCGCAATTTCTTTGATGAGGGACAAGCAGAAGAACTAAGGAGCAGAATTGATACTTTCACACAGAGGCCTGAAGAGTCTTTTAAGGATTCTTGGTAGAGATTTAAGTCTTTACAATGCGATTGTCCACACCATGGGTTTAATGAAGTACAGCTGCTTAGTACATTCTTTAGAGGAATCCATTTGAAATATCAAGTAGCTCTGGATACAGCTAGTGATGGGAGCTTCAACACTAGGAATCTGGAGGAAGTTATGAGACTTATTAAGAACTTAGCAAACAGCAGCAGCATCAAGAACACTGATTCTGAAAGGAGAAAATCTGTAGCCTTCTTTGGGAAAGAACAATTGGATGAAGTAAAAGCTCAGCTTGAGAATGTCAATCAGCTACTTATGAGGCAGGTTTGCTCAACAGAAGGTGTAGATTATGAGAGTTCAGAATTAGCAAATGTAAACTACATTGGAGGAACTAGATTTCAGAGGTCTGGGAACCAGTTTGGGAACATAAACTTCAACCAGAATCCACAGTTTCAGAAAACCTACAGCAACTACAGCAACAACAAGAGGTATGGAAATTTTTTCTACCAGAACCCACCACCACAGACTCAGGAGAGCAAGATTAAAGCTATGCTAGATCAGATTCAAGGACAGCAAAAGCTGACAGTGGAGTTCAATGGGAAGATAGATACTTTCTAAAAGGAATTAGACACCAAAATAGGAGCTTTGAGCAATTAGGTCAGAAACTTGAGACTCAGGTAGTTCAGACTGAAGAAGTTGTCAAGAGGCAAGAAGGTGATGAACCTATGAGACACCACAACATTGCCATACTAAATTATGATTTCTGGCAAGAAATTTGTCATATACAAATGGGAGAGGACGAGCCTAAGGAGAAAGTTTATCGCGATCTCGAAGTTCCATTCTTGAATCGATCGATGGGTTTACATCCATATCGATCGAGTGAGTTCGAGACATGTCGATCGACAGGTTACAACTACGATTGATCGACGCTTACCTAATCGTCCAAAACCTGCAATGTCGTCTGCATGATGACCCACGAGGAGTTTGNATGGGAGAGGACGAGCCTAAGGAGAAAGTTTATCGCGATCTCGAAGTTCCATTCTTGAATCGATCGATGGGTTTACATCCATATCGATCGAGTGAGTTCGAGACATGTCGATCGACAGGTTACAACTACGATTGATCGACGCTTACCTAATCGTCCAAAACCTGCAATGTCGTCTGCATGATGACCCACGAGGAGTTTGCAGAAAAACACCCGGATCCACCCATCCTTTCTTACTTCACAGTCAATCGACACCCAGCTCTTGTCATCGATCGATACGACCCTACTCTAATCGATAGATCCGACATTTTCACGTGTCGAGTGCCAGTGCAGACATCGATCAACCCACCCAACCCTACAGAAGAACCCATGGACGTTGATAGAACCACTACCACAAAGACTCTGCAGAGAAGGAAATAAAAAGTTCATAAGCATCTCAAGAGAGAACTAACTGACAAGGAGATAGATGGTTTCACTAAGAGAGTTTTAAGAATCCCACCAGAGAAATATTTTGATGAGGTTTATTATACCCACAGATTGTGGATGTTCTTCAGAGAGACTAGGAAGACTGAAGAAGACATTAGGAGAATGTTTCACCATGTTAGAGAGAAGATGAGACAGAAAACTACATTGAAGAAGGAGAGAGGTCCTGGGAAATTTGCTATACCATGTTCTATTAATGGTATTCAATTTCCCCATGCCTTATGTAACACATGATCATCAGTCAGCATCTTACCTAAAGTCATGGCAGACAGTTTGGGTTTGAAGGTAGAACCTTCAAAGGAATCATTCACTTTTGTAGACTGTTCTGAGAGAAGTTCAGGAGGTATAATCAGGGACCTGGAGGTGCAGATTGGTAATGCAATAGTTCCTGTAGATTTTCATGTCCTGGATATCAAACTAATCTGGAATTCTTAACTTCTTTGGGAATAGATTTTATGGCCACAGTTGGAGCTGTTTGTGACATGAACACCAACAGGTTTTGTCTTACTTTGATTGATCCATATGTTTTTTATGACCCAGTTCGTGTTTATAAAAAACAGGTACATTCGTTGGAGACTTGAGAGGCTACATTGATTGCAGCTTGCGAAACTGAATCTAAGTACGAAACT